CTTTGGCTTTCTTAGCACTGGAGCAGTTTTAAAAATACAGCTTTTAAAAAAAAAAAAAAAGACCAATGGCTCTGAAGAACCTGTGACCCAAATTCAACCAAAGACTGCATGGTTGTGACTTCTTGACTCTCATTAGCGTTCTAGTGGCTGTGGATGACATTTTTTATGCTAAGCACTAACTAAATTGTTGTGAGACCAAACATTGTAAAACTTCCTACTGATTTATGTAAATTCAAAATGTACTGTTGTGCATCATCTACAGATATGAAGCAGGATCTTGGGAAAGGTCTGCCTGAGCACAGTCATTCTGAGAAACCATGTTTCCACAATTCTCCCAGAATTCCCAGCTTGACATGTAAATGAGACATCATGTTTCAGACTTACTTCAGCCCACTTATTTAGTAGATAGTTATCACAATGTCTAACGTTGGAAACGTATAGTTTGTATTTGGAACACATTCTCTGCATTGGTTCTAAAAATTGTCTTTAAAGCAGTGTGCCGATGCTTTTATACCACTGTGATCCAAGACATTTAATATTTCATGGGAGTCTCCTGGAGGTTAGGGTATTGTTAATAATTTGTCTTGCCTTTTCCGCTCTCAGCTGACTTTTTCTAGTATCCCTGTTTTGCAGGCTCTAGAGTCCCGGCATCTTCTTGTGGTGCTCTGCTCATGTGTGTCTTGGTTGGCATTAAGTCCATCCGACTTTGCGTCACTCGTACACATTTGTGCTGTGATCAGATCACTTGCCCTTCACTCTTCTGCTTTTTTTCTGGTCTCAGGGCACCATAATTGTATTTTAGGGACCTCTCTCCCCTCTGACCTCCCTCCTAGTCCTTTCTTTGTTGTCTGCCCTCTGACAAAGTCTTTAGCTGCCAGGACCTCTTTGTTTTGCTGCAGGTAAGAGGTCTATTTGATCCTTCCACTCGGGGATTATCTACTAAGCAGTTCTTTTCTGAGCAGGAAATTTGTGTGTTCATTTCTCTTTGCAGCAACCCATTATGTCTTCATCTAATTCCTCCAGAAGCCCTTGAAAAAAATATGGAAAAAAGGAAACAAAAGTCCAACTAGTGTGCTGGATGTGATAAAATTGCTGTGAAATTGAGTACAAATTATTTAGCAGATTCTGCTGGCCCTTCCCATATGCCACCTGCTGTTATCTTCAAATGGAGTAGTCAGGTACTTTACAAAAGTATTAAGGAAAGTAGCTAGTACATGTTAAGCAGCGTTGAGTGGCAGCTGAATTCACCGACCTTCAATAATATAGTTCAGAATTAGGTTCTTCTGAATGTGGATATGATTGAAGCGTCTCAAAATTGCCACGTTCCAGCATTCTATTCAGGTTTATTTCACCCTCAAGCAGTGAGCACAGATGCTCTGTTATCCAGATGGACTTTCAATCTGGGTTATGTCTTCTCGCATGTCTCCCTGATCTGAGAAGTCCTGAAAAAGAACAGGAGAAAAAGGAACTGATTGCAAACTTACCTTTTTGGCCCATACATCCATTGTTTCCCTGCTGTGCAGAATGTCAGCCACACCTTCATGGTGTCTTCCTGTTCCTGCCTTTCTGGATCTTTTCCTGCACTCTTCACCAATCTCTGTGCTTCCTTCATTTGATGGCATGGTGACTGGGTGGAAGATACAGAATCTCAAGACTTTTCATCTCTTGTTATTTTTACGCTATTCCATTCTCTACATAATTTGAATAATGGCATGTACAGAATTTGGTCAACTTTCAATTAGATTCCTCGAATGTTTTAGTTATCAAATCTCTAGCATTCACTGTTTAATAATAACCCTCAACACACATATAGAGCAAATTATGTTCCTAGCTGTGGAACACTGATTGATCTTCACTATAATTTCATTATTATTAATATTATTATTATTGTGTTATTTATATAGCGGCAACAAATTCTGCAGTGTTTTACAGTGGGTGGACGAACAAACATGTAATTGTAACCAGACAAGTTGGACACACAGGAACAGAGGGGTTGAGGGCCCTCTTAAAAATAAAGCACCTACTTTACTTTTTATTGAATTTTTCTTTCCTGCAGAGTTTAGGGGACAACAAGCTGCTTGTTGCAATGAGCTCTGCTATTGGTAGTCTGTTTCCTATGTTATGAGATTTATGCTGATCATGGTTTATGTGGTGTGTAAATGGTTCTTTCTTTAGAAAGGTTCAGCATGATTGTGGTGACATTCATTCACTGCATGATCCAAGTAGAGAACTGGGGCACATGCCCCCATGCAGACTGAGGCATTTGGGGTGGTCTGTAGCCTTATCTATAACTTTTAATTTCTTGTGGTTGAGGTTAAGTGACTGGTACTGTTGACATTTCCAAACTGACAATGTCAGGAAGCTTAAGAAACAAACAAAGTGATACACCCCAAGTGAAATTTACACAAATTTACTTATGTAAATGTAAAAATTCAGGCAGATCAGATAAAAAAAACAACAACAATACACAGTGCTTTCTGTATACATATAATACCATATACAAAATATCAGAGTATTAAAACTTACACAGTAGAGAGCCATACCAGGCTCTGTACAGAAGGCTCCAGGATGCCTATACAGGCTATGGTATATACTCCTTGCAGAGCTGGTTCCAAGAGAAGGAGAAGGAACTTCAAGTAGGTAGCAAGGCTTTATTGAAGTAAAATATATGGGGACAAATTAAGCAGTGTGAAAGAAACTGTATAAAAACATCACAATATTGGACAAAATAATAATACAAAATATAAAAATATATATAGAGTCCCAAAGTGCAAAGATGAGGTAGTGTACGAAATATACATATATATAAAAATATATATATATTACCCTCTCTATCCTCTTCTATCACTGATATGTGCAGAAATGACATTCTGCATTGAAGGAACACTCCCGTACCACTGTAGTGTTATTAAATCAAGAAGTTCTTAAATGGCTTGACTACTTACTCTGAGAGGTAGGGTGGTAGGGCACTCTAAGCCACCATGACTACTTCAGCGGGTTTAAGTGCTTATGTTGTTTGGAGTATTCCTTAAATAATCACACCACTTTAAGACCTCTAACCCTTGATGTGAGGTCTAGAGTTGTATTCAAGAATTTGTTGAAGCAACTCCAATTTTCTGGTTGAGTTCAAGCACCATCATGTTCCATGATAGCTACTCTACCATATCCCCAAGTACTAAAGGAGTTGGATTGCATAGTGAAGGTACTTACTGCTCACTGAGCAGAGTTTAATGGATGCAGTTAGCAGAGTAGGATAAGATGAGACATTTGGGGAACAGGCAGATAGGTAATAATTAGACGTGGTAGCCTAACTATCAAAGAGACAGGAAGGCTGTAGCCAGTCCTAGTTTAGAACACCCCAGCAAAATTACCTGTTTGAGTGAAGATGTTGGAAGTATCAACTCAGCAGTGGCTGTGCCAGCAGAAGCTGCTCCTTTTAACAACTGTGGATGGGATCCAAAATGGAGGAAAGTCATTGCTGTGGTAGGGGATTCTATTATTAAGAGAGTAGATAGGATCATCGGCTGCGTTGATCGTGTCAACCGAGTGCTCAGGTTTGGCTTGTGCTGACCGAGTGGACAGATTATTGAGAGGGATTAGGGATGGCCTAGCTGTCATGGTCCATATTGGTACACATAAAAAAGTCACAGGAAGATGGAAGGCCCTAAAGAATGGGTTGAGGGAGATATGAAAGCAAACTTAATTAAAGCAGATACTAACCATTTCATGCACTACAGTAAAAAGGCAGTGGGAGATTAGGGAGGTCAATGCATGCCTGAAGTCATAGGGTAGGAAGAAGGGTTTTGAATTTCTAGAGCACTGGGACAATTGGGAGTTTGAGCTTTTGGAGCTTTTTTAGCTGTGATGGATTGCACCTGATTTAAAAAGGTTTTGTTTTGCTGAGGGAAAGGATGGAGACGGTTTTAAACTAGGAGTGTGGTGGTGGGGGAGGGGGCATACAGAAGGATAAATGTGATAGATAGTATAGAAAGTAGGTGGAACTCAGTTTAAGTCCTTGAGGGTGAAACGGGGGAGTGGAAAGATTAACAGACAGAACAAGAATACCAGTTCAGGTACTTCAAGTGTTCCAGCTCAAACACACCGGGTGCAACTAATGAAGCCCTTGATTAGTTGCATCAGGTGTGTTTGAGACAACATCAGTTTTGCATATTTGTGCTGTTGTGATTC